GTGTGTGTGTGTGTGTTGCGCCTATGCACTGCTGGACTCTGAAGGCTTCAGAGGCTCTTTTGGCCCACCTCGAGCCGCAGCAGGCATCGACGACCTGGCTGGTTTGCTGCCTTCGCCCGAACGATGCGGGCCACCCCGACCGCGTGCTCCTCGAAAGACAAATGATGAGATGCGGGGGGGGGGGGGGCTTCTAGCACAGCCTCTCAAGGAGTGGCATCTGTCCATTGAGGAACAGAAACGTGATGCTCCGGCAAACTGAGCAGCTCCGCTTGGCTGACATGGTTCATCTGACAGACAAGAACAGCTGCTTTCTCTGGTCGTTGAATCCAGGATGCACATGAGCCAAACTCGCGTCGTTATGCTGTTGAACCCGTGCGGCCCGAAAACGTTCCAAGGAAAGCATTCCGTGAGAAGTACGCCGAGTTGGTGCCGGCGCTGGCGGACTCCACTCCGGACGAGGAGGCTATGCGGGGCCATACTGTAGGGTCAATCCTTCAGGATGTCAGAAGATCAAGCAGCTTCAAACCCATCACAACAGCTCCGAGCGAGGTCTGCCGCATCATCGTGAAGTCTGCTGGAGGTGGCGAGGGAACGGTGGGTGCAGAGAACGTGTTCGGTGGCGAGATCCTGGAACGTCTCTTAGAGCACAAGCCCGCTGCCTACACAGCAAGATTGTTTGTTTCTAAAAACTTGACATGCGACCCTGCACCTCAGCCACATCTTTGCAAAAGTTTGTCTGGATTCCCGGAGATCCATGAGCCAAGAAGTAGCGATAGCATGCAGCTCCGCTGATTTCTAAGGCTGCAGGAGAAGATGGCTGGTGCCCAGCACCTGGAAGGCACCAAATCGGTGACTGGGCAGAAGCTTCACTGCTCGTGTGCTAGGCTAATGAACGCAAGACCTGAAAGAGGAGTGTTGGCTCAACTTCATAGTGTACATGTTGGAGAGACTGTGGCTCCCGCCGTCATGACAACAGGTCAGCAGCTGTGGCTGTGCTGTTGTTGCAGGTGCCTGCTGCTGCTGCCAGTTGCCACGACGACGACGATAACGACTACTTCTACAACTATGACTGCGATCACGTCGACGAATACGGCGACGACGACGATGACAACGATGACGCTGCTTCTGCCCTTCTACGCCTACTGCACGCGCCCACTCTTTAAAGGGACGACAGCAGCACTGAGTAGCCAAAGTACTAAGCATCTGCATTACCAGCAACTACTCTACTGGTAGACTAGAAAATCGTGAGACAAGTGCGCGCCTAGTCAGTTTAAATGAAATATGCATAGCCAGCGTAACCAGCGCAATCACCTTCACAAACGTGTTAGACAGTATTCGAAACAATATAAGGCGACACGCAACTTGTGCAAGAAGTGTAGATACGCTTCAGTACAGCAGCGAGCATGCCACGGTGATTAAGCGCAGCAAAGTTTCAAACTACGGACGTCGGTTGCCGTACGAAGCCGTGCCATGACTACATGCAGAGACAGTAGCAGCATCAGTAACACCAGCAAGAGCCGCTTGAACGAGGATGACAGAACTATCAGTCAGAACTGTGTAGTCGCAGAGGCCTCGGAAACATTGCCATCATATACAGACTTGCAGTGCCTGAGTCTAACGTTTGAGTCTCAGGTCCTGAACTTGCAGTTGAGGTCTATGCCCCTCTGCAGCCGACTCTTCCCGACTTCTCCCGAAGACCCACCGATAGGTGGCAATCAGCACACCCTGCGCATCCCAGAAGCTAAACAAATTTGCAGAAGTGAGGAGATGAAACAGCTTATGGAGGAGAAGCTCAGGATGGAAACTTTGCAGCCGCGTGGCGGGTTGGAGGGAGAGAGACTAGGGGGACCCTACATACTCGTAGGTTATGGTAGGTTAGGGTGGCCCTCACTTGCTTTTGGCTTATTGCGACATTAGGTCATCTGGGAGGCTTTGGCCGCCTGCTGCTGCAAATCTTCGCACAGAAAACACACTCAGAAGTAGATGTTGAGTTAGTGAGGGTTAAGGTCAGGGTCAGAGGTTTTGTGTGGGTGGTCGCAGTTAGCAAAGGCAAAGGTCATTGTGCCGATAGTTGAAGCTGAGGCACCCGAATCCGCATGCCTATGTTCAGCCTGCCAGAAAGAAGCAAGCAGCCGGAAACAAGAACGCCAGCAAGCGCATCCACGGCATCTGAGAGCCAAGCACATTCGTGTGTCATGCCTGCCTTGTCTTGCCGTCCTGAGAAAAAAGACGAACGGCATGTCTCCAACAAGGACTTTTCAGACATACGTGTTGTTTACCGGTAAGCCTCATCACGCAGGCTTCCCCAACGACCACGCAAGAAGTCAGCCACCAAGCAAGAAACAAGCCACAAATTGCAAGCGTGCCGTCGCAGTCTTGAAGGTGCTCTCCAAAACCTCAACCATAAACCCCAAACCCGCCTATATCCTAAAACCAAACTCCTTAGGGCCATAAACCCTGAACCCTCAACATTGTTGAGCTTTGAGGCGAGAGCAGCAGCAGACCGAGCGCCTGAAGGCGACCCGAAAGTATGCGCGGAGTGAGGCTTCCCAGACCCAGAGGCTTCCGAGAGCAGAGAACAGGGTTCCGGGAGGTGTCAGGTCTTTAAGTATGGCGGTCTACAATATGAGGTCTAAACTATAAATACATTATAGATATATGTGTGTTTTGCATGCAGCACCTTCATGTATGCATATGTGTTTGTCCAGTTATATTCGGCGAGCGCCGTTTTCGCACGTGGGTTGATCGAAGTTGTGCAGGAGCTGGAGTCGCTTCGTGGCCAACACGAAGATCAGCAGAACAAGCAGCAGCAGTTGATGCAGAGTTTCAGCTGCAATGACAAACAATCTGTCCGTTCTGTTATTCCTCGTCTCCGGTTGTAAAGTTTACGAGCAGAAGTGCTGGTTCAACAGTCTGCTCGAGGGTATGTGACCCATCGAAGGTATCAACTCACAAAGACCCATCGAAGGTATCCATCACAAACACCGCCGAATGCAACTGTTCGGTTTTCGCATAGTTTGTTCTCGGAGTGCCTGGCGGAATCTGAAAACATTCGTGCCTGACATGCATTGAAGGCAGCTTCAAGAGCAGCAGTTGCAGCTGCAGAAGCAACACCAAGAGCAGATGCAAGAACAGATGGAGGCCCTTGTGTGCATCTGCCAAGAATCGTTGTTGTTCGGCCGGGAAATGAACGGGGGCCAGGGCTAGGCGTATGATGTCCGGTGCAGATCTGCTGCAGACTCCTATCCTAAGCCGTGCGCAGGCTTTGAGGAAGCAGCAGGAGCTGGAGCTTGAACGCTTGCGGATCCATGCTTGCAGTTAGGCAGTCCGTGCTAGAGTGAGCGCGACTTCAGGATGCTAACTATGCGTAACTATGCTTGGACCGATGGTTGCATGCTGTACCTTTTAGCGGTAGCAGGTGGTGTGTAACTTTGATGCCATGTTGGATGCACACCCACATGAGCAACAGTAAGATAATTACAATACAGCTAGAGTATCGGCGGTGTCCTACGACCCTGCAGCCGACAGCGAGGAAGCAGCAAGAAGAGGTATCTGCTGCAGCCACTGCCGTCGCTTTGCTGCAAGAAATATTAGCCTGTGCCGGGCATGTGCTGTCTTGGCCAGTTTCTTCGAAGCTCGTGTCACGTGTCAGGCATTGAATCCCGTCGTCCCTGAGACATCGCCGACAGTCTTGCCACCAGAGGACATGGTGCTGCCTGGCACAAGTGTGGTTCGGAGAGGAGTTACAGGATGCTTGTTTCAGAATGAAGGCTATGCGGAGTTTCGGAGGCTACCATAAGGCTCTGGAATTTGTTTTGTTTGTTGCAATCACCGTTTCATGTTGCAATCTCGGAGCTTTTGCAGTACCCGGGTGCTGCAACGAGCAGTGCATTCACGGTTGAAGCCAGTTTTCTCAGATGCATTCTCTTCCAGTCAGGCCGGTGACAGTGGCAGCAGAAAGTTCAGTGCCCTTGCCCGGGGCTCAGGAAGCATGGGAATGGCTCCGAGATGGGAGTTTGGGAAATATGGGGGTACCTTATTTGGGGGTCCTTATAATATGGATCCCACTATTTAGGGTGCTATATTAGGGTCCCCTATTGTCGGAAACCCCCAGATGTATCCGTGTTGGTTGCTTGCTGTTCCTGTACAAGCGGCAGCGGACCCTACAATCGTAACACAGGAGACCCTGGTCCCTAAACACCCGAGAACACAAACATCTTATAAACCTAACCCCCCAAAAAACCATAAAGCCCTAAACCCTGAAGCGCTGAACCCGAACAGGGTTTACGGCTTGCCCCGAGGAGATCGAGGAGCTTCGGAAAGCCCCGAGAAGCCCCGCCGGCCTCTTTTCACTACCGCTTCCGGGCCCCAGGAAACACCGAGGAGGCCTGGTTTCCAGTCTGGGTTTCGGGTTTCGGGTTAGAGATGTAGGGCTTCGGGATCTTCAAAACACCTTCGCGGGCTTCGGTCTTTGCTAGGATTCTCAAGGGTTGTCCAAGGGTTTTCGAAGGCTCTGCAAGGCGGTTGCCGGTTGCCACAAGGGCCCTTCTGTCTGTGTGTTGCAGGAGGGGCAGCCTCGGCAGAGCTATCCAGCGCTTCATGCTGCATTGGCCCAGATGGCCGCAATTCTCCGTGTTGGGTGCTTAGTGTTTCCGGTCCGTGCAGCAGCGGTCGATTGCGCAGCTGTCGATTTCACGATTCTTATCTGAGCCGGAGGGCAGGGTGTGCAAAATATGTGTGCAAGTGTCAGGTCGCCAAAGAGAGGGAGCAAAGCTTTCAGGCGCATGCAGAGTCTGTGCCTCAGCCCTCAGGTAAAGGTACAGCTATCGCCTTGTGGCCACAGAAGGGCTTCGTTCATCAAGGGGACAGTTGTGCAAGGTTTCATGATCAAACGCTGCATGACCTGGAAGCCGAGTCGCGAACTCAGCAAGGTCTCAAACTTCCTGAGTCTTTCCTGCTAGGTGTGACCGGCAGCTTGCCTGCTTGTGCTTTACTGAGTTGTGCCCAGGCGGGATGGATGGAGGCAGGAGATCCGCACGCTGACGCAGCAGGCGCCAAATACAGTGAAGTTTCATTGAAACGCTCCGAGTGGTGTGCACCTGAGACGATGGCACCTTCCCATGCCTTAGCTTTCGCGCTGAGGTCAGCGATCTTCGGCGAAGTGTAGAGGAGCAGCACCCTGGGGTCAGCCCTACTGACCTACTGGGGACAGTGGCAGTCTTCTGGAACGAGTGTACATGTGCTTTGCACGCCGGCCTGTGCGAGCTCGTCGGAGCAACTTAATGCTATCCAACTTCTCCAGTCACATGACTCCAAAATAGTACCATAAATGATGACCATTGACTTCACGGAGCCCCTCTGTCGCACAGCCCATGTGCGTGCCGGCTAGCGGCATCAAGACTCTACCAACCCGAGACAACACAACCAGGCAAGATTGCTGGGATTTCAGCCGCAGTTTCACCGTAGAAGGGCTTGCATGGCGCCAGCAATTTGTGAACCTGGTGGCCGCAGCCCAAGCTCACATGCCCGAGTATCGGCTGCTCAGTCTTTTCCTGATCCATGTCCTCCTACTCCTGCTCCGCCTACTGTACAACGTAACAGCAGCAGCAGCAGCAGCAACAGCAAGCCGCAACCGCAACGAACCACACGCACAACCACTACCGAAACCCCAACCACAACCACAACCGCAGCCGCACCACAATCGAAGACACAGAAGCAACCACAACCAGAGTTGTGGCCACAACCGGAACTGCGAGCACAACAGCAACAACCAAAACCACAAGTCGCAATCGAAACCGAGACCACAGCCACACAAAAAAACACAATAACCATAGCCGCAACCAAAGCCACCACCACAAGCACAACCGCAGGCACAAGCACACCACAAACACAATCACCACCAGCACCACCACTACCAGCAGCAACAACAAGACTATCGTACGAACATAGGTATAATTAGGAGGCGAGTCGAAAAGACAAACGAGCTTGGCGAAAACACACAAGTTACATATGAGGCTTGTTTTGTCGACAGTTTATTCAAAACCGGCCATGTGACAGGGTCTAAAGAGTCCGCGAAAGATCCGCCAAAGCAGGGGCGAGGAAAGCAGTCTTGCGCGAAAGTTTTATTAACACGTGATAACATACTGCAGGATTCATTTACGTCCTGCCTTGCCATCTTCAATAAACAAGCATGCGAGCCCTTAGTCCAAGCCTCTTGAACCGAGTAAGCCTTAAAGCATGTCGAAACTTCATGACACCTTGTAAGCCGCGAACCCTAAACCCTACGGAGAATGAGTTCTACCTTTGCATCGTTTGAGCACCCGGCCCTACTGATTTGAGCTCCGGGCTGATTGTACCTTCTGCATGGCGAACATCTACCTTGAACGAGTCCTCAGTACTTGCTGTTGGAAGCTCATACGGTGCAATGTGCAGTAAAGGGGACCTGCGCAGCGTGAGGGGTTGTCGGTATAGTAAATGACCATGGTCTGTAAATTTGAGCACAGGAATGGGGATTTTTTGCAGTGGATTGCGCGAATGTTCCGCGAAAGCTCCGCGAAAGACTCCGCGAAANNCAAGTGTGTCTTGAAGGCAGTAGGCCGCTAGCGGCAGCAGTGCATGGACTGAAAGACAGAAATACAAAAATTCATGAGGCACCATAATCCGAAACCACGCTTAGAGTAGATGCAGGAGGCTGCTATGCACACATGCATATATAATATACATACGACATACATACATACATGCGCAAACACAGACATACATACATATGCATACATACCTGCATACACGCATACACACATACATACAAACATACATACATACGGTTATGCTTTTGTGTATCGATCCAGGCACCGCCCTGTCGCTCTCTCTCTCTCTCTTCATCTTTCTTTCTCTCCCGGAACTGCTTCATGTGCAACAGGAGCCCTAAAACCTTAACCCCAGTAAGCGTTGTCTGTAGCCTAAGGCCATGGCTTCGTCTTTCCACTAACAGATGGCGAGGCCAACTGGGACGGCAGGGGGCCCTAGCAAAGAGGAAGACCGGTCTTCTAGAACTTTGGTTCTTTGCTTTAGGGGTTTAGGGGTTCGGGATCAGCCGGGAAATCGTACTTATGAGGATGGGTGCGAGCAACCGTCTACATGGTTGCGATGCTCTACATTTTCCTTGGCGTGAACATCGTTCGGCCGGCAAGGATTGAGATGATGCTCGTAAGTGTAAAGTCTACATCCACCGGATATAGACAGAGTTCCAGCAACGAGGCGAGCCGAGAGCCCATCGAGATCATAACACCAAAGCCGTCGCAAGCACACCACTTTGCCAGGCAGCAGACAAGTTCGTCAGTGCCATTGAAGGCATTACCAGCATCAAGCGCAGAGTTCTGCAGAGGCCCTGCAGCCGGCCTCCAGCAGTCTTTAACGTGAGCGACTGCCGAGTGCGAAGGTCGACAGGGCGTGTCATCACAGTTAGCGCCCCTTGGTCGCAAGACTTGTGACTGCGATGCTCCGTGAAGCGCAAAGACGTGGTGTCTCCCTAGAAGCCCAGAAACGGCGTGTGAGGTTTGGAATGGGACAGTGGCAAACCTGACCTTGCTGGCGTTGGGCTCGTCGGCGTCGGGCCCCTTCGAACAAGTTTTCGTGATCTCAATTCCTGGCATTCCCATCAGCCATACCTAATCAATGTGACTTTGCATCTTCGCGCACACACAAGGCCGGAAATTCTGTTGTCTGTGGTTGAGATCATGGGGCCATGCCGCCACGCTTGGATCGCTTTGCCACCAATTGGGACGTTGCTCAAAGAATCTTGCGAGTCTCACCCGCAAGATTCTGAAGGCATCAGCTGAGACTCTCTACCCACCTCTAGCCAAGCCAATCCACAACATGGCGCTACAAGCATCAATCGCAAGTGCCCTGGCTTTGAACGTTCAAGATACAAATAGCCGGCATCTCGAGATCTGCCAGGAATGGCTTCTTCGCTGGCGAGCTAGGGCCTTCCACTATTATTGGCGAGGACCTGAGGCTTTAGCTTGCCGGCCACATGCAGAGCGGCAGAGCTTTTGACCCTGACTTCATAGAAGCTTCATCCAACGGATTCCGGATCGGTGCATGAGGGTTTCGTCTCTGGACGGCGGTCGTGCGAGCCTCACCCCCAAACAAATGATGTCCCTTACTCCCTAGCACCACCGCCACCACACCCCGAATGCCGTACTTGCATAAGCCTGGAGCGCGCCGCTCACCATTTCGAGTTCTGAAAACAAAACCTGATACCCTACACTTGTTTGATGACAGCTGCAAGCGAGGCTCCGCAGCCTTCAACTTGTTCTGCATCGTGGTCTTGGCCTCGGCATCGCAGCCTGTGCCACATCCCACTGTAGAAGCTGCCGTGCTCAAGACTATGTGAGAGCATGTGGGCATCGAGCAGTGTCTACAGGGGGGGGGGCATGAAGCTGCATGTTGGGCTTGCCTGGGAAGATGGACCTTGTTACAGGAGATCCCACCCAAGCACTGGTGGCCAACTAGGCTGATAGAGCGTAACAGCTACATACAGCTACTTCGGACACCTAGAGACTTAGACGACAACAGACCATGTTCAGTGCTGAACCTCAGAATTCCGGGGCCCGAACAAAAGATATGTGGAAAACAGCTCGTTTCTCAGGCCGTTTGTGTCGTAGCGGTGCCAGCGGGCGAGCAGCGGCAGATCAAAGATTTAGGCAGGTCGCCGTTGCCTGCGACCTTGGGATCATGCTTGTGGGCTTGTGGACGTGCAGCTTTCCGGAACACAGCTGTTTGGCCTGTTAGGAGCGATTCATTCAGCATAGCACACCGGGGAGCCATGGCGGTTGCATTCCGACTTCGAAGCCGACCGGCAATCAGCTTCTGGACAGTAGATCAAGTTTGCGATTTCCTCGAGACCGTGGGCCTCGACAGTGAAGTCTGTGCTCGGTTCCGGACGGAGTCAGTCACAGGCCGTGTGCTGTGCCAGATAACAGATCAAGATCTCTCTGCTTCACCCTTCGAACTGCCCTTTGGCCTCAGAAAGTCCCTGCTAAGCGAGGTCGACGCTCAGCAGAAACTTGCGCGTGCACGGGAACGACAGGAGGTCGCCGGCACTGGGCCGATTCTGGCCAAAGGCCAGGTGCCAGAGGGCCTCAAAATAAGCCAGGACGCCTTAGAGCGGATCCGCAAGTGGCGCTTGGAGCCATCCTCAGGACGCTTGGTACGTCGTGACTTGCCCCTCAGCGATGAGGAGTTGGAGTGTTGGGAGTATCAAGCATCTTGGTTGGTATGTCCTATTACAGGGAAAGCCTGGGCAAGGAGCGATGTGGTGTCTACGATGGGTGTGGCACTCTACCACGCTCCACGCTACTGCTCTGAGAGGGAGAAGCAGCGACTCTTCCTTGAGGAGGAGCAAGCCCGGCGCTACGACACCCAAAGGAAGGCAGCCATGGACCATAGCGGCACGAAGTTCGAGCGTGACTATGAGGTCTACCCTATTGTCGAGCCGCCACCCTTGGCGAATCTGCCCTTCCGAGCGGAGTCTTCAGATGCCAGCGACGAGCAGCTGCAGCGCCTGCGCATGGAGGTCTCAAGCCTCAAAGGCCGATCTGCGGCGGTGCAGAGAGAGATGTTCGAGGGCCTTCAAGGAGATGCAAGGGTCCATGGGGAGACTGGGGAGAGCTTTTTGTCCGGAAACGACGTTGGACGGGCCCTGGAGCAGCTGAAGACGGAGCCCAAAGGCGACTTAGAGCTTGCTCAGAAGTTCGGTGTCTACGAGTCCTACTTCTCGGGGGTCGTGGAACTCCGCAGCGATCTCTTCGGGCTTTGGGAGCGGTGCGAGCCCGTCTTGGCGAGGCCAGATGCGGCCACGATGCGAGCCGCTGTGAATCGCGTGGATAGCTTTGAGAACCTCTCCATTCCAGAGAGGAGCCGCCATTGGTTCGTCTACCATATGATGAGCACCGCTTCAAGCAACCATGGTAAGATGCAGAAAGTCTTGGAAGACCTGGAAGACCTGTTTGAGACAGCTCAGGACAGGCAGGCTGTTGACACGGAGGGGCATGCAGAGGAGCTCAGCGACGACCCCCAGCTGGGTATTATGGAAGTGATCATCGGCCCTGCGTTTGATATGGATGCCTACAACGACGGTGTGCGCGGAAATGCAGCGAGAGCAGTTCTTCCAGCGGCCGACCGTGGGGTACTTGACATGGACAGGCAGTACAATGCTGTGAACTTCCAGTACTTTGCGCAGCAGACCGATGCAGGTGTCACTCGGGAAGGGGCCGAGGCATCATTCAAGCGACGCTTGTGCACGAGTCGGCTCAGTTTCTACATCGAGGAGTCACACGGTTCCCGAATTTTCCCACGGAACATCCTGTCGCAGCTGAGCCTTCTTTTCTATCGGAGGAACGATGCCCTGCGCTTGCCCAACGGTCAGGTGAACGAGGCCCGGGTTGCCGTCTGCATCCGCAAGGCCATCCCGCGAATCTTAAGAGCAATCGTCGTGGATGTCTTCCAAGGAGACCGGAGCTTTCCGCCACACATGGAGAAGGCCGTTCGGGTCTATCTTGCAGTGCACCAGGTTGCCATCAAACTGCTGGCAACTTTCCGCAAGAGCTACGAGCTCCTGTATCAATCGGTGCTTGAGTGGATCCAGCAGCCCTTCTGTCCAAAGAGCGATTCTGAGTGGCCAGATCTTGAGGAACTGTTGCTGGGTGCGTCCCTCTGTGCCGTTCCCTGGTCGCTCCTTCGCGAGGCCTTCGTGCGGCGCCTCTTCGTCCATTTGCTCAGCATCACCAAGATGAGCGCCAAGGCACCCATCCGCCAGAGGGCTGAGCACCTCTTCACCCAGAACCGTGCTCTGCTGGAACGGCTCAGCTACATCCTGGCCTTCTTCCAGGCTGGTCCCGGCAAGCTCTCGGTTCAAGAGATGGACAAGAAGTACAGCCGCTGTGCTGGCAGCTTGCCCAAGGCAGAGCGGGCAGCCTTGGTTGAGGCAGCGAGGGAAGGTGGCTTGGGGTCCTTGTCGGATCTTTGGGCCGCCTTGGGGATGCAGCGCGGCGGAGACGAGGAGGCCGCATTGCAGCAGTTGGAGGTCTTCTTGGAGTACGTCCAAAGCAACCTGACCTCCTGGAAAGCAGCCCCGGCACCGCCCGCGGCATCCGAGGGTCCGGCGCTGCCCCCCGCTGCGCTTGAGCAGCTGGCACTCATCGGTGCACAGAGTGCCGGGCCCGCGGGGCCAGCCAAAAGCTCCAGCAAGATCGAGCGTGAGATGGCCTTGGCCCGAGCGAGAGCGGCCGAGAAGGCCCAGCACCAGGGTTTCCCAACTTTGCCCCCTTCGCGACGTTTGGATGGCACTTTGTGCTACTACTGCCAGCGAAAGTTTCCAAGCAGGATGGCACTCTTTACCCACTTGCGCAAAAATATCGACAAGGACCTTTCTTGCGCCCAAAACATGCTAAGCTTCCAAGCTAGGCCAGCATGTTTATTTTGGAGGGTCTGTCTCGAAGGGCTGGTGCATCGCATTCGGAGCGGAGTGTGTCCAGAAAGAGGAAGCGGATGCGAAACGCAAGTGCAAGACCGGCGAACTACCCGATAAGTCAGAGAACGGAACCTCCACACAACTCCTGAAAATGCTTCCTGTCGCCTGGAAGGACCGCTTCGTGGAGGGCCACCACGAGTCGCACTTTCAGCTGTCACTTCCCGGCGGCCCAGATGCTCTGCCAGAGTCAGGGTTGCACCGGTGCAAAGCGAGGACATGTGGGAAGTCCTTCGCATCGAAGCAGGAACTCTGGCGACATTACCACACCATGGGTGTGCCTGGTTTCGAAGAGCCGGCAGAGGCACAGGCAGCCGATGAAGGCACCAAGCATTTGCAGGAGGACTCTGGACCTGCAAACGAGCCTGTCCAGGAAAGCGTTGTGGTCACGACCACGGACCTGTCCCGCTGCGCAGTTTGCCTGGACAAAGCCGCGAACGTGGTAATGGTGCCTTGTGGGCATATTTTTGCCTGCCAAACCTGTGGCCAGAAGCTGAAGGAATGTGCAGTTTGTAGAGCCAGTGTGTCGCAAGTCTTGAAAGTTTACTACAGCGCGGATGTGTGCTGAGTTTGCAAGGCGAAAGCCTTGACGCTGATCTTACTCGGCCTGTTTCGCTTCACAGGGACATAACTCATGGTAGTGAAGCAGGACAGCAACTTGCCGCCATGCTGCGCAGAGAGGCTGTACAGAGAAGGCTCATCTGCGGAGGACGTGTACAGAATCGCCACGTTTCGTACAAACAAACACAGCCGTGCTGAGAGCCTTGGGTCTTGCCGTGTCTTCGTCCTGAGCCAAGATGTAGAAGCGTATGAAGCGAAGACTGCGGTCAATATGACGATGCCGAAGGCGATTGTGAGGATTACTGCTGCTCCTGGCAACTCTTCGTGTCTGGTAAAATAGCTAGCTGCTAGCTGCTAGCTGATGCCTTTTAAGCATGATGCTCGACTGCAGGTGTCTTCTGGGTCACAGCAGGCTTCTCCATCTTCGCCTACCTCTGGCTGGTCGTGATTGTACAGGCCAGCAAGTACCCTAGACTGTAAATCCGACAGCGGGGCCAGCCCATGTGCCAAACCCGAAACCCTCCCAGACTGCAAGACCCGATCACATCACGAACTCGAATGCCCTGCACACCTGAAACCTTACATGGCTAGTGCAAGCTCACACACCTCTCCGCCCCAAAACCCGACCGAAAGAGGTGAACTCGCCAAATGTCGTGGAGCTCTGGGAGGTGCTGACAGGTTTTGTAAGGTTGCGAGCACTTCAGATTCTGGGTGGTTGTCAAAATTATGGTCCCTTTTTGGGTGCTT